AACTAACATCAGTGTTTCAATAATTATCGCGAAAATGGAATTTTTAGACCGTGAGCTAGATTAAAACGTGATTTGGGACATCAAACATTTAAACAACTAGCATTTTAAGTCTCGTCCAACACTGCCTCCGGTCCGGTTTATTCTGATCCGGGGTTTTTCGCCAGATCCGGCAAATTTCCACACACTGCATCAGGCGTTCCAGTTCCGGCGACCAGTCTATGCGAGGACAGCGTATAGTGTCAGTTGAAGAACTGTTTAATCAACAACTAGTTAGTTTTAACAAAATTTAATTTTAACAATGAGTGACAGTGAAGAAGAGATCATAGTAGGGCTAGTAGTATTAAATTGATCACTTATTTCTTCCCAAATATTTTCCTTAATAATAACTAAGTTGTAGTAGCCCTTGTGGCCCAGGTCGTATAGCACAGGGTACTCCTGCACTTGCACGATCAATTTCTCTTCTAATGACATTTGTAACAAAACGTACAGCGTAAGTAAACAAACACCAAAAAACCACGTCTGCTGCTACGTGGTGAGTAGAAGTCGTCTGCGCATGCGCGAGCTCTCCGGCGCCGGAAGCTTGCCTGAAGCCTATCGCTTCTCGACTGAAATAATTTTACTGGAGAGCACCTGACGCACCGGACCTGATGCAGTGTGGGCACTTCCATTTGAATTAATGGTTTTCTATTGGTTTCCGAATTTACCTGATCCGGCATGCCTGATCCGATTCCACCGGACCTGACACAGTGTGTGACGAGCCTAAACCACTATTTAACACGTTCACTGCGCTACGAGATCCCAAGGTCTCGAACCGGACCTAGCCCGTATTGCGGGACCCATAATTTGGCTTCTTTCCAAAAATTATGACATCGATATTTCGGCGTACAGTTATCGTAAAGAAATGAAACTTGTACATATATAATGCATTATCTTGATGTATCAACTAGTAAATATGAAATGAACGTGATAAATAGATCTCGTAACGTACTGAAGTAATAAACTTTTACTTTATTACGATACGAGACCCCTGGGTCTCGTATCAAAAATAGTTGTTCCAAGCACTACATGAGGCTAATGGGGTGATTAGTAACCATGGTAACCTTTGTTGAATGCTTGGATGAAAGAAGGAAACCAAAGAAATAATTCAAGAACAAAGAGAAAGAATTATGGCGTTTTTATGCTGTTATTTTTATGAGTTATCTAATGTTTTACAGGTCTACATATTTATCGTTTTCAACTACGGGAACATAAATCTTTTTTTAACTATCGGCGTGTTTCTCTTCTAAAGCAGCACTAACGGATGCGTATTAAAGGTCACTGGTAAATGACCTAAAATATCACGATTGTGCAATGTTGTATTTTGATGTAAAAAAGCAAATCTTTTACATTAATTCAAATATTTCTCCTGGTCCCTACTAAATCATTCAAAAATCAATGCTAAATAATTGTCAAACCGGACAAGCAATTTCCGATAAACAACTTTGTATCATTGGTTTTTGTTTTGCGATTGGGATCACTTTCGCAGCCCTTCAAGCTATGGTTCCACAGACTGCGGAACTTCCGCCATGCGGTGCGTAATTTTCCGCTGCGAAAAATTACGTAGCGTAAATCTGGAGGGGTGGTTCCACTGACTGCGGAAATAACGTTGCGGAAATTCAGTTCTGTCCAAACTAGCGACGAGTATGGAACACAAATATAATACCATAAATACTATAAAATAATATTAGGAAATATTCAGACTTAATTATTTTTAATTGTGGTTACTTTTATTGTCAACTGATGTTAGACCTAGTTTTTAAAAATCGCCTTATTAATTATTTATGAGGATGGTGATAGTAAACATTAATAAAGTAACAATTTGAACTTAAATTGTAGTTTCATTGATACACAAATAAAAAATACAAGCCCCGAAAAGAATAAGGTTATTGAAATAATATTAGGAAACTAAATTATCACAATAACTTATAGGATAGTTCACAATAATTAATTGATGGCTCTTCTCCGCTGGCGGAATCCACACTGCTACTGCTCTCAGACCAGTATGATTTGTCCGCCATGCGGAACCGAAAATTCGGGATGCGGAAACGCACGTCAGTGGAACCGCACACATGGGAACTCCGTTAAACCAGTGTCGTTTTAATTCCGCAGCGGAAAAAATCGCCCCGCATGGCGGAGATTCCGCATTCTGTGGAACCATAGCTTTAGGGAATTGGTGCAAGTCTAAATATAGCTTCAAGGTTGCACCCATCCCTTCCCCCCGCCCACTCGACTCACTGTTGGCACGCACTCATTTCGAGGTCATAGCCCAACCCCAAAATTATAACGAAATAAATACAGTAATTTGTAAACATATTTCATTTGTATTTTATTTAGCATGAAATCAGCCGTAACGAAACGCATTATTATAAAAAGTGATAAAAGAAAGATAAAATATATTTTGTATAACGGTTACGATTATAAGGAATTCGTAAATAAACAGATAACATAATTATATTTTTCTTAATTTGTTATTGTAGGAAAAGAATAAATACAAATAAATAATGAACTATTACAGCTGTGTGGTACGAGATCTCGGGGTCTCGTACAATGACGTCATATTTACTTCCTGGGCTGGCTGAAGATTGTCAACATTGTACTGGTTCAGATAAACAAACACTCAGCGCTCTCTCGCCTTTCTTTGCGAGGTTATGATGCGCAAAAGATTACTGCGCAACGTAATCTCGGGGTCTCGTATCGCACCTGGTTAATCATAGCAGACGAGACCTATAGATCTCGTAACGCACCATTGGAATAATGCTAAAAAATATACAACGCAGTGAACGTGTTAATATACGTCAAATTTTACACTCAGAAGAAATAAACAAACAAAAATATGCATGCGAAATACAACGGTTTTCATAATGCAAAAACGGGATAAAACGGGGTTTTTCAACCCAGTTAGCAGGATTATTGTTTTGGTCGTGTGGATACACTGCATACTATACTTAGTGCTTGTGCTTGTTTTTGTTTCTTTGTTGGATCAGTGTTTATATGAGCAGTATAAGGTTATATTTTACATTGTTTTGAGTTTGTGAACTTTTATGTGTGATGTGAATACTAGGCTACAGGTATGTCGAAAAATGATCTTATTACCACCTTCTTGGTACCGAATAAACGGTTAAAGATAGAGGACGATACGGTTCCGGTGAACAGTAACTCTCCTATTACTCGGCCAGGCCCTTGAACGTCTAGCTCTGTTGAGACAACGTGACAACAACCACGATCACGACCACAACCACTGCAAAACCAACCTGTTGGTCGGAGCAACAGCGGCAACATTTTTGGAAACGATGTTCGTTTAAATATTTAATATTTAAATACGCTACAACAACGAAGCAAATGGACCAACCGCATTCCAAATATTCAAGAAGGAGATGTAGTGATCATCAAAGAAGAAAACCTACCACCGCTTACATGGAAAATGGCCAGAGTTATGCTACATGGTAAAGATGGAATCGTTCGAGTTGCAAGATTACAAACCAGTCAAGGAGAAGTCATTCGACCGGTAATAAGGTTATGTCTTCTACTAACAAATTAAATAAAAAGAAAAAACAAGTTTTTTGGCGGGCAGTATGTTTGATACTCTTTGCCATACTCCCATAATTGCTTGTTTTCTCTATGACATTTGTATTTGAAATTATTTAATTAACATCTGTTATATTCATTGTATATTCTTAATATACACAGTTACGGTCCACTTATAGCTCTATACTTATTTTTTATTAGAAGTATTTCAATGCAACACAGTTACCTAACAACAAGCTAACCATTTAACTGGTAAATAATTTCCACCAACGATTATTTCAGATTACTAGAATTTTCCCGGGCAAAGAGCGAGTCAAACAGCTGGTTAAACATAAAAATATCTATATCTATCTATATAAAATATTAATAGGCAAGCATGTTTCTTTAAAACCTTTTTTCTCAGCGGAGATGTGCAGAATCCTTTTATAAATTAAAATAAGCTCGAAATATGAATTTGAAAATTTGAAAAATTAACATGGGTCTTATGGGTTGCTATGCTGGTGACGAAATAACAACTCAATATAAATAGAAAATCAAAACAAATTAAAGAAATTCCAATCACATGTATAGGCCTACTTAAAAACCGTGTACTGTATGAAATGCACTGCAAACCACGTTGGCGTGTGTACATTAATAATATTTGTTTTGTGGTATTTTCACCAGCTGTAAAGCAACCATCCTCTAAAATATGAAATCAAAATAATAACATAAACAAATTTAGTTCTCAATGGTGGTGAGTCTGATTTTGCACTGATTGTGTGTTGTGTGATATGTCCGATTATTATACTTACTATTTGTTTTGTGAAATTTCGATAATTTTACTGTATTATTTGTTATTATAAACTTGAGTGACTTTCAAGTATCATTTAGAAATTCCCCTACGGCGAACATTAACTGGCCGGGTAGAAAGAATAAACCGTAACCGTCTCTATAATATGAGAGTTAATCAACAAGATGTAGTTATTATACTGAATTACTGAATTCGATGGATATTTTTATGTGAGTAAATGGATGTGTGCGTTTATTTATGGATGTGTAAATGTGCATAAGAGAAGTGCCTCGGGAGTTTTGTGGCTCAGACATTGGACTTATGAACTTAAAATGCCGATTTTGCTATGGGACACATTTTTGGTCCAAAGCCACACAACGTGATACGATGGCATTCACACCATGTTGCCACATAGGCAAAACAATTGGTTTACAGCCCTTGATACGAAATGCTTTTTTCAAGACACTTTCAAAATAAATCCCTATCACATGTTTTATTTACAGTGTGGGGTAAAAATAGAGAAGCCATTAGATATTTTTGGTCGAGTTTTCGACCACTGGACGACCTCTAGTAAATATAAATTAACAAATTGTTAAAAGCTCAAATTATAATATATTTGAACAAACCATTTCAACCAATAAACATAGTTGTTATGTAACACACTTACCCAAAGACTGGAATGCGCAGATTCTCGCCAGCAGCAACAAGTGGACTCTGTATGTTGTTGTTGGCGAGGATAAAAGTGATGACGATGTAGTCGAGGTGAGACCGATGGAGAGGCAGGAAGATGAGAGGCAGTTGTGACTCACTGGCTCGTCTCAGGGTGTCCAGCTGGGCTGGGTGTACCACCACACACGAGAACAGTCGGGACATCACCTTGTTCATCACATACGACGCTAGTCTGCTGACAACCATCCATCCATCACATTGTGTTACTACAGTGGACTCCTTAGAGTGGAATTCACACTCGTTCTTATACTGACACTTGTAATATTACATGTCATTAATTAATCATAAATAATAATTTCTCTATTATTTTGTGTGTTTCTCCTATAATGTTTGTTAATGCCCCTATGTGTTCCATTTTGTTATAACTAAGGACAAATTTTCATTGGACATTTTAAATCAGCGTAGCCTATTAGGATGTAGGCACAATGTTCATCAAGATCTACATACTTCAAATTGGACCGTTATTCTTAATAAAAGGTTTTCCTACTAACAACACAGATTTTAGTTATACAACATTTTAATGACTTTAAATGCATCATGAACAGTGATCACAGAGGATTACATTTTAGGAGAATATTAGTTGATATTGCATAACAAACATAGAACGTGTGTATGTGTGTTCTTTCCTTATTGCTCTCTTCTGGTAGTGTCTTTTTTCTACTTTTTCATACATCTCAAAGACAACTAAACTAACAACTTAAATGTCAATCACTGCAAATACAAAATAATAATAAACAATTCTAAATTAATTTCCCATATAGGGAATAAGCTATTACCATAGTACAGTAGAACCCCTCATAACCGGCCACCACGGGACCAAGCCCCTGGCCGGATAACGATTTGGCTGGATAAACCAACCTACAATGAAAATGATAATTCATACCAGTTATAACAATAGGTAATCAATATATACAGTGAAAAGTATCATTCCAGTCTGTTCTGGGGTTATAAAAAAATAAAAATGTTTGTAAAAAGAAAAAAAACATATTTGTAGGTTAAAATCGTTAAGTAATGAAGAACGTACAAATATTATGATTCCAGGCAACAACAACTATTAATGAAGGTAAAAATGACTATAAATTGGACTTGAAAATCATTAGGACTCAAATGGTACATGCATTTCAACCACAGAATGTGATTTCAACTCAACATTTTTATCCATTTTGTAATATACAAAAATTAATAATATACTGTACTGTACTAACCCTACTTTGGTAATAATCAACCAACTGATCAAAAGGTTTAGGCCTACTAGCGCAACTTAGTATAGTGACACAGCAAAAAATGTATTAAAAAACAGATAAATAGTGAGAACAATTTATTTGATAACTTGAGCAGTCACAAAGACTAGTGCTTGCATCTTAACGTCCGTAAGCTGTGAGAAAAAACATTTTGATATTGGCTTCCTGGAAGGGGCCGGATAAACAGAGGACCGGTAAAACCAAGGCCGGATATGAGGGGTTTTACTGTACTCATGGTAAGACCTGGACCGATTTACTTTTTCGTTTTGAGGTCCCTAGAGGCCAAAAACACCATCGTTCAAATTCATATATATATCATCTCAAGAAAATAATCCGATTTTGATGAAATTTGGTACAAACGTGTAAACCTACATATATTCGAACGAGTTCGCGAACCAGCATGATCGGACTATGGGAACAGGGGTTTATGGGGGGTTTTATGGGGTAAAAATAGGTTTTTCCCATTTTTTACCCTAAAAACACAAAATTTCATAATTTCTTTCCAAACCATTATGTAGAGGTTAAAAAAACAAATAATGTAGTATATTGAACCGTTATTATGCGCGTAATGGTTACGGAAAAAATTTTAAAAATAATTAAATTTAAAATTCCCATGTTATTTTTATGGAGAATAAGTTAACTGTTGCAGTTTGCTTGTTAATAAACATATTTTGATCAAATTTAGAAAATACATTCATTTCTTATATACAGTAGGCTATTAACATTTTACAACAAAAACACTTTTTTACCCTCCCTGTTGCAGCAAACCTAAGTACTCGTTAAACTAATTTTATTTAAATAGGGAATAAACGTGAAATTTTTATGGAGACATTTGTTTTTGTCTAAATCCAAATGGAAATTCGCTTAGACTGCAGGTTTGCTGCGGCGGGGGTATTATTACATTAAATTCAGTGAAATCAATTGGCATCTTTCTTAGGTTTCTTATGATATTGACATATTACAATATCATAATAAACTTAGTCTATTTCAGAGCAACAATTAAACTATCTAAATTATCTGTATTTTAAAGTGTAAAGCATAATATACCATTCGAACCGGCACGACCACCCCTCCCTGAGATTAAAGAGCTTAAATTATATCACTTATAATTGAAGAAACAAACACATGTAACTAGAGCCTAGAATCTTTTCATCCACTTTTGGAAGCCCCACCATTTTGTAAGTTACCATTGTTAGTCCCATAGAATTCAACCAGTATATTTGAAATTCTCAACTTACTAAATTTTTATTTGAATTTTAATTTTAATTTTTTTTAATTTTATATTTCTTAAAGTAGTTCATCTATTAGGCTATAAGATTAAAATTAAGACTTACCTCATCGGACAAAAAAAAATAAAACATAAGTTAGGATTTATCTTTATTAAGAAATAGAGTTCAATGTGGGCTAAGTTAACAGCCAAAGGAATTGTGTAAATCTCTTAAAGAGCAAGCCAAATATAATAAATAGACATATAGAAAGCTTTTCTCTGCACAGCACACTGCTCATAGCAAATGTTAGAAACATACTCGTTTTACAACCATTAAAAAATTAGGATCCCATACAGGTAATCACCCAGTGACGCCTTATGAGTTTGTGTGCTATATCACAGTCACATAATTATAATATAATTTTTAAGTGTGTGAATAAATTCTACTGCTGAAAAAGGCAAAATAGGGCAATCTCCACTGCAAGCGAATTTTATCACACTAAGAGAAAAAAGTAATCTCAACATGGTATTTTGTAAAACTGTGCAAAAGAGGTTTCCAAATTTTAGCTATAATAGCATATAAAGGACTCCTATAATTGTTGTTGATAGCGTCAGAGAAGGTGGACCTGAGGTAAGTGGTGCTATACAACTGTCTGCATTGTGGTGCAAGTAGGCCTACCTGAGGATAGCGTCAGAGAAGGTGGACCTGAGAGTTGTAAGTTGTGCTATACAACTGTCTACATTGTGGTGCAAGTAGGCCTACCTGAGGATAGCGTCAGAGAAGGTGGACCTGAGAGCTGTAAGTGCTATACAATTGTCTGCATTGTGGTGCAAGTAGGCCTACCTGAGGATAGCGTCAGAGAAGGTGGACCTGAGAGCTGTAAGTGGTGCTATACAAATGTCTGCATTGTGGTGCAAGTAGGCCTACCTGAGGATAGCGTCAGAGAAGGTGGACCTGAGAGCTGTAAGTGCTATACAACTGTCTGCATTGTGGTGCAAGTAGGCCTACCTGAGGATAGCGTCAGAGAAGGTGGACCTGAGAGTTGTAAGTGGTGCTATACAAATGTCTGCATTGTGGTGCAAGTAGGCCTACCTGAGGATAGTGTCAGAGAAGGTGGACCTGAGAGCTGTAAGTGCTATACAACTGTCTGCATTGTGGTGCAAGTAGGCCTACCTGAGGATAGCGTCAGAGAAGGTGGACCTGAGAGTTGTAAGTGCTATACAACTGTCTGCATTGTGGTGCAAGTAGGCCTACCTGAGGATAGCGTCAGAGAAGGTGGACCTGAGAGCTGTAAGTGGTGCTATACAAATGTCTGCATTGTGGTGCAAGTAGGCCTACCTGAGGATAGCGTCAGAGAAGGTGGACCTGAGAGTTGTAAGTGGTGCTATACAACTGTCTGCGTTGTGGTGTAAGTAGGCCTACCTGAGGATAGCGTCAGAGAAGGTGGACCTGAAAGTTGTAAGTGGTGCTATACAACTGTCTGCGTTGTGGTGCAAGTAGGCCTACCTGAGGATAGCGTCAGAGAAGGTGGACCTGAGAGTTGTAAGTGCTATACAACTGTCTGCATTGTGGTGCAAGTAGGCCTATCTGAGGATAGCGTCAGAGAAGGTGGACCTGAGAGTTGTAAGTGCTATACAACTGTCTGCATTGTGGTGCAAGTAGGCCTACCTGAGGATAGTGTCAGAGAAGGTGGACCTGAGAGCTGTAAGTGCTATACAACTGTCTGCATTGTGGTGCAAGTAGGCCTACCTGAGGATAGCGTCAGAGAAGGTGGACCTGAGAGTTGTAAGTGCTATACAACTGTCTGCATTGTGGTGCAAGTACGCCTACCTGAGTCAGAGAAGGTGGACCTGAGAGCTGTAAGTGGTGCTATACAACTGCCTGCGTTGTGGTGCAAGTAGGCCCACCTGAGGATAGCATCAGAGAAGGTGGACCTGAGAGTTGTAAGTTGTGCTATACAACTGTCTGCATTGTGGTGCAAGTAGGCCTACCTGAGGATAGCGTCAGAGAAGGTGGACCTGAGAGCTGTAAGTATCTTGACAGCTCGTTCTCCCTGTCTCCGCAACATTGCGGCAAACATGACAGGATCCGACACGTCCGCATTGCTCTCCTCTAGCGCTTGCTTGGCCGACAGCTCTATAACCTGCTTGATCTTCTCATCATTCAACACCTAAATCATCGATTACCACGCTAATGATATACATTTCTAAAAATATTATTTTGATAAATCATATGGACCATTTGGTACCAACAATAATCTGCCCCAAAGTCTAAAAGAGGTAAAAACTTATAAATTGTTAAAGGTAAAGTTGAAAAATCTTGATTTATTTAAATAATAGAGAATTCAAAAAATACTTGTAGGCTAACTTATTTTTGTCTGTGTTTTTGTTTTAAATCGATATCATTGAATGTTATGATTAATCTTTATAGTCATTTTAATTACATGTTACTGTTGATATTTAAGTTTTAAAACTTGTTATACTTATGTTAAGTAGTTTTAGGTAAAATATTACAGTATTACTTATATTGATTTTGTTACTGTTTTTCTCTGCTCAACTATTTTATATGTTTATACTCATGTTATGTAGTTTGTTAAGTTTGTTGGTTCAAGCTTTGTTACTGTTTAGGAAGGGAAAACTATTAAATTATGGCTGACTCAACGAGATGCATGTAAAAGACATTTAAGTGAAATCAAGAAATGCTACGGACAAGCCTTTTATGAGGCTTATGTAGCTTAGTGTTATAATGCCCTTTTTGTCATCGTGTTGTATTGAATAAATAAATTGAATTGAATTGAACAGCTTGAAACATAATTAGGCCTAGTTCATGTTGATGAGGGTTTTCTGAATTCAAATTAACTGACTAAGGGTTTATAAAAATCTTGAACACATGAATGAAACAACTAATTAAACCGTAAGCGAGAAAATAATTATCTAGAAGATTGTCAGAACTTAAAACAAGATAAGTCATGTTAAAGGCAGTTAAATTTCAAGAAAAATCATTCTTAATCAGAATAAAACTTTTTAAAGCTACCCGATTTACTTACAGTTTCATAAACGTAAGGGTAGTAGAACTTCTTGAAAGACAGTGCATGGCAGAGCTGGGGAAATATCTTGCCCAGGAATGTCTGAGGGTGAGTGCCGAGTTTCTCCACTTGCAGCACATCCACCACGCTGACATTGCGGTAGTTCTTGTCCACAAGAGCACTCTACAATAAAAAACGTCTTGTAAGTATAATAAATAAATAAATATAATAAGTATAACATAAATAATACATAAACAAACATAGTCTTTGAATGGTAAAACACTATTGTATTTGTTTTCCTTGCTAACAAGTTTTGAACACTATAAAAAGGTGCAATTTGAGCACGGGTCCTTTTGCTTGAATATGAAACATATGATTAGGCTATCTAAAAGCTGGATCTCTCTTTCATAATTGTTTACAAAATACTAATGGGGAAAACATTTAAAGTGACATTTCAACAAATAATGTAGCCTAGATGCATCTGATTTCCATTAAAAAGAATATGACCTAAACCGAAATCGTTACTCGTCACTCGTCGTAGCCAAGGGGGGGGGTCCGGGGGATCCGGACCCCCCCTTCCGGCCATAAATATATATATATTTTTGTTTACTAAGTTAAATGTAAAATTATATATTATACTACTCCCTAGTCCCTATTTCTTATTTTTAAGGCACATATTTGAACCGACTGAAGGATCTTAGAGCTGGATCTGGAGACGAAGAACAGTTTCACAAGATTTTTGAGCGATCCAAATTGGTGTCTGAGTTAGTTCTTGAGTGTGAAATTGAAGTCCCGAGACAAACTAAAAGTCAAACTAAACGAGACAACCATCCCCATAGCTCTCCAGAGGATTACTTCAAACGAGCAGTTTTTATTCCAGCTATAGACGGACTTGTTGTCAACATCGAGGAAAGATTCAATCAAAACCGCAAGTTCCTGTCCTCAATTGAAGTAATCCTCCCAAAAAAATGTAGCCTTCAAGACCTCCACCTTTTGGAAAACTTGAATGTTTATTATGAAAGCAGAGTTTCACAAGAATTACTCAATGCTGAATACTCCATGTGGTGTCAAAAGTGGAGTTCAGTCAAAAAGTCAGACCGGCCGACTCAACTCATGACAGTGATAGACTCGTGTGATAAGAACTTTTATCCAAACATCAGGTACTTGCTATGTGTGTTGGCATCACTGCCTGTGTCAACATGTGAAGCTGAGAGGTCATTTTCTGCGTTGAAACGTATTAAGACTTATTTACGAAATAGGATGGGAAATGAGAGACTGAGGGGACTAGCCTTAATGGCTATTCATTATCCTGTACCATTCACCGCAGAAGATGTTTTGAATGTGATGGCGGCTAAAGGAAAGAGAAAATTAATTCTTTAAAATGTAATAATTTCATGTTAGGTCTATCGTTATTGTACTAAAATACAAAACTTTCACCTTGGGAGTTGCATACCTTATGTTTCAACTAAACCTTCAATTAATCTCATTTTTAACTTATTCTATCACTAAGAAAATTACGTCTTAAGGCGTCTGAGAGGTCATTGAAACTGTTACAGCATTTATGAGTTAGCAACAATCTAAATTCTACACGACAGTACTTAGATTAATAATTTATAACAATTTTATATTTTCACAGAAATTGGCTATAAACACGTAGCCAATTAGTAATAAGAAACAAAAAATATCCACCAAGGCCTTTAAATGTCTTAATAAACATATTTTAAAATATGCCTGGACGTACTAAGCCAAATTATTGTCAAAGGGGTTGGTTATTTTCAATGCCATGAGAGCTGAAAAAGGCCATTTTAGGGCCTATATTTCCAAACATTTTTTTTTTCCAAACATTCCATACCCCCCGGCCCCCCGGTGACTCGACCCCCCCCCCCCCCCCCCATTTGGGAATCCTGGCTACGTCACTGCGTCACTTATCTATCAGAAATGTACTCATATTTCTCTACATTCTTCGTTTTGTTGTTTCTGTGTTTCTTTATACTATAATTCGTTCACAATATTTAGGCAGTTTTAGGAGAATAAATCTATCCCCTCCACTTGACCCTTACCATTAAAATAATAGCTGAACAGCTGATAAAGCAACATATTAAATTCAAAAAAGTGATGGGGGATCTTCTCCCTCAAACCGCCTAAATATTGTGAATGAATATGCATAGGCCACTACGGGCAATTATTGTTTGATGTCTTTTAACAAGCAACCATGCTATCAGAACTCATTGTTGAGGTTCCTGTTAAGTGTTTCTTTATGTATGGCAGAACATCCTACTACAGTAGACTCCCTCTTAACCGACCCTAATGGGACCGGACCTAGGTCGGATAGCTCAAGAGGTCTGTTAAAACGGGTAATCCCAAAAAAAATAACAAAAAAGTGCATTCATTTGGAATTAGGAATTATATAATCATTATTTTGAAGTCGTACTAGCATTATTTATGAAATAAACTATACTTATGCTTATCTCCTATTTTCGTATTGATAGAAAAGTTACATTTAAATAAACACAAAACACTGTTGAGTCAAATACTTTCAGTGGAATAAATTATACTTAAGAGTCAATAAAAATTCTTATTTTAATAACTTTAGTGCTGTAATATTAATTGATGCTTCAAAATCTATCATAGTACAGAACAGCACTTTTAGTCAAAATTAAAGATGCAAGCAACCATTTTGTTACAAGACAGGATGTTGAATTATAGCCTCACACAGGAGGCTGAGTCACAAAAACTATCTTGACCTTGGAGTAGTTAATCCCCCTCCCCTGCTCTTCCTACAAATTGCTGTTTGTTTACTCTAGTGATAAGATAATAATATATTACAAAAATAGCAACTGTTTTCAGAAACATACATTTTTTTGAGATGAATACAAAATAACTTATTCTTAGTCAGTCAGATTGAAATCGATGACTCGACGAATGGAGGGGTAAGTACATCAGTGGGAGATCCATTTGAACTTGTTCTGAATTGCGAAGAAGTAGTTGCAAAACTACAGGTAAGAATAGATTCCTTCACACCCCATTATGCAGACAAACGATGTAACTCCCATGATCAAACTGTAGTGTCAGAACCTAAACGTTGTTTGGTCAAACTACCGAAACTTGTGATCCCAACCTTTGATGGTGATGTCCTCAAATGGCAGGAGTTTTGGGATTCCTTTTCCTCCTCCATTCATAGCAATGATTCACTTACCTTGATTGACAAATTTAACTATTTGAATTCATTACTTGAGGGGGAAGCTAAACGTTGCATATCCGGACTCCCACTAACATCATTAAACTATAATACAGCAATTTCTTTACTGAAGACTAGGTTTGCTAACAAACCAATAATTGTAAACTCACACTACAAGTCACTAATAGAAATTCCTCCTGTTAAGTCTAATGACACAAAATTCTTGCGTCGTACCTTCGACATAATTGAAAAACATATGAGATGCTTACAAGCCTTAGGGGAGGATACAAATTCAAACTACTTCCTCACACTTATTACTAGTAAGTTACCTCTCAATGTTCTACTGAAGGTTGAAGAACTAAACTAAGGCGAAGAATTAAATGTAAATCGACTTTGTAATACAATTCAAAACATTCTAATCGCTAGAGAGAGAAATCAGAATTGCTTTTGGGAATTTCTACTAAGTCTAGGGATGTGACTGTGGAGCATATCATTCATAAACCTACCTACCTCAACTGACGAGACCCTATTAACTGGTGATAGGTCCTGCAATCTAAGACGATGTATATTTTGTGAGAAAGACCATTGGAGTGATTAATGCACGGCATTCAGCACAGTAAGTGAGCGTAAGGACAAAATAAATGGTTTATGTTTTGTTTGTTTAAAAAGGGGACATAGCCTTAAAATTTGTAAAACTTTCAAGGCTTGTGTTTATTGTAAATGTAATGTATGCTATTTCTTTTATAGCAACACTAACAATTATTGACACTTAAAACCATCTTTACTAAATATGTATACTGACATTAGAATTAGACAAGGCTCTGAAATAAGAGATGCTTTCATGTCGATTGTTGAACATAGAAGAAGTTTATTCTTACGAATTGAGGTAGGGAGCACAGCCCATAGAGTATACAAGTTATAACAAATTATAAGGCACATATATTACAGTAAACAAAGTAAAAATCACCACAGGAGCCTTTGCCCTAAACAGTTTCCACCAGGTATCACCAAAGATGCTGTGAATCCCCCAGGACTGTTCTGACTACAGGAAGAGAGTTACAAGTACCAAAACCAATTGGAGGCTCGCCACACTTGACCACAACTCAACTAAAATCAACTAAGTTATCATCTCTTCTTGGAGTTAACGAACAGGTAATTTTACAAACTGCAATTGTAAATGTTACAAATAAAGTTAACAAACTAACTCACACTCTAGACTTTTATTCGATTCAGGTACTTAGTCATAGGTCATGCATGTCAAAGACATTAGCTTCTAAGTTACAATTAAAATCCGAACAACATCAGATTTTAAATGTGTTCACTTTCGGGAACAAAAGTTGTAAAACTCTTGAGATACCTGTTGTTTGTGTTGGTATTTCGCTTTTAAATAAAGACGCAATCAACGTACAAGCAAATGTTGTGCCTCACATAACTGGACAAGTCCACTCAAGCGGGATGATAGATATTATTGATCAAATAAAATCAATATATCCTAACTTAACTTTGGCTCAAGGTCAACACCTGAACTCCGAAATTGACCTTCTTATTGGAAATTACTATTACTTGGACTTTATAAATGACTACAAAATTGAGGTAAGCAATGGACTTTTCCTCTTAAACACTAAATTAGGCTGGGTCATCAGCGGAAGGAGCTTAATAAACTCTTTTGAAACTGACTCTTACTCAACTTCATTCTTAACTACGGTCCAGCCATCTAACTTGTTTGTTCCTAAAGCTTACTTTCATTCTGCAGATTCTCAACTTGTAGAGCAACTTAACGTCAAAGACCTCTGGAGTCTTGAAACTTTAGGTATACATGATAATCCATTTGAAATTGATTATGATAATGCTCTAAAGCAGTTTAATAATACTATGCAATTAGTCGAGAATAGGATTAATTATAGGTATTCGGTTTCTTGGCCATGGAAAGAATACACCTCAAATTTGCCGGATAATTATTTTCTCTCATTAGCTCGACTGAAATCACTTGTGAAAAGGTTATCAA